AATTTACCGAATTTTTCAAATTTACCTTGATTTTTATTGAACTCAAAAAAATACACACATTTTTTTTATTCTGAACTGTGAATTAAAAAAAAAGATAAAACCATTTTTACTTAATAAAGGGTATGGCCTCCTCTACTGTTCATTACAGCCCTATATCGTCTCTCCATGCTCCTGATCAGGTTGTCGATCTCTTCTTGAGGTACAGCCTGTCACGCTGCCTTCACGGCCCGAACCTGATCCCTACGAGTTTCACGAGGCATAGCCATTCTCAAAATTCTTCTTTGGACCGCGTCCCATACGTGCTCGATGGGGTTGAGGTCAGAAGATTGTGCCGGCCAGGGTAAGATGTTTAATTCATGAGCATTGATAAACTCACTTCCCACTCTGGCTGTACGAGGCCGTGCATTGTCATGCATGAGAATGAAGTTTCTCCCAAAATCATTGGCATATGGTAACACGACAGGTTCAAGAATTAAATCACGATATGTGATTCCTGTTAGAAACCTTTCAAGAAAAACGAGATCGGTTTTTCGGCCTAACTGGACTCCTCCCCAGACCATAACTGTTCCACCTTGATAAGGGTGCACTTCCTGAACATGATCCAACCGAATAAGATTTCCCGGTTCTCTCCATATCCTAAGCCTTCTCGAATCCGGATGAATTCCAAAGCGTGACTCATCCGTGAAGAGAACATTGGCCCATTGTTCATTCGACCACTGAACATGATCTTGAGCCCACAAATATCGTACCTCTCGATTTCCTCTCGTTAAGGGTTGAGCTCTCCAGGGGCGTCTGCTTCTTAAGTTGACCTCTCTTAATCTATTGCGAACAGTGTCAGGACTAACGGTTACATTATGTGTTTCCTGGAGAATTAAACTAAGCTCTGGTGCTGTAAGAGTCGGTCGGCGTCGAGCATTTAATTGTAAAAAATGATCTTGCTGAGGGGTAGTAATACGATGTCGCCCTGTGTGCCTTTCAGCAACATCACCACTTTCACGATAGCGTGCACTTAATCGCGATATTACACTTTGCGTTGTATTTAATGCTCTAGCTACGTCGATTTGGCGCATTCCAGCTTCGAGCATACCCATGGCCCTTAGCATTTCGTCTCTGTTAAGATGTCTACGCTCCATAATGTCGTTTAATACTAAACAGAGTTATTTGAATGAATTCTGGCCAGTTATGCACAAACACTTCTGCACAAACACTTTTGTAAAAAATATCCCAAATTTAGAAATAACTAGTGTGACTACTTCGTTTCAATCGAAGTAGAAAGAGTCGGCCTACAAATATGTGGTTGTTTATTCAAAACATTTATTTTTAACTTTAATAAAATGATATCCCTAGATTTTTCCGGTGTGTGTATATTCACCCACCGGGAAAATAAGTACAAGAAAAATTTACTGCCTCCTGGATTATAGAGTTTTAGCATTTCGGGCACCCTTACTATCACTGGTTGACTCCAAAATCTGGTCACTTTAATAGAGCGAGAAGCTTGTTATAAATTTAGTTTAAAACTGTGGCAGTTGAGATTAAAAATTTAGTGTTTGTCGACCCTAGGGTAAATATTTGCCTTTGCCCGTGCTGCATACTTTATGTTAATTTGATATGAATAACAGCATAATTAATGATGAATTCGCCAAGCCGGAAGAGCTTCGTTAAGAGAAGTTTAGAGAAAGCGTTAATATTTAAGTTTGAAGGATATATGCTATAAAAGTCTGTTTTAATGACTTTATAAGATCATGGACTAGGGTATAGAATAAAAGCCATTTTACTGATTATATACGAGCCCTAACAACTAATAACTGATATGTTGGTACAAGGTCATATTATGGAATTATTGCCCTGGTTTTTCAAAACGACCGAAAAATATATGTTTAATTTTTTAAATATAAACACAGCCATATATCCTAAACAACTTGACAATATTTTTATGAATTTGTAAATAAATCCATATTTACAGTAGCGGATTTTGTTCATATAAGGACAAATTTGCTGACAACTAAATGTTGGGACAAGTTTTAAATAATTAATATCATCATAGGCGGCTTTGCTATAAACATCACAAATGTCGCAAACTGTTTACTTCAGCATTGACAGCTTGTAAGTGACTCGATACTTTGAGTAGTGAGATTTACTGTAAGAAATTTTAATTTTTTTAATTTTCAATTTTGTTAATTTAATCCAAAGTAATGGTCCGTGGAAAAGCTACAAATCAAAAACTACGCGAAATTATCAATCGTCAATACAGTACGGGAAAAACAATTCGAAAAATTTCTGATGATTTAAGTATTCCAAAAACCACGGTTTTTAATATAATAAAAAGATACGGCGAATCTGCCAACGTAGGCGTTAGAGGTAAAAGTTCGAGAAGGCCAAAAGTTGTATCTCAGAGAGATTTACGAAATTTAGTAAAAATTTGCAAGTCTGTGAGAAGAAGTACTCTTCGCCAAGTAACAGTTAAATGGAATACTGTAACTGGTTTAAATATATCAAGAGAATGTTGCCGAAAATATATCCACAAATGCGGTTTGGGGTTTTACAAGGTAAACTTTATTTTGTGTGGATAATCAATTACCTGAAGATTATTGATACAAATTGTTATTTAGGCCAAAGAAAAACCGCTACTGACAGAAATTCAAAAGAAATTCAAAAGACACAAAATGATTGGAATAAGGTCATATTTAGCGATGAGTCTAAATTTGATGATTGCGTTGGAGATCATCGAAAACGAATAATACGAAATAAAGCAGAAGCTTTTCATAAAGATTGCTTAAAGAGGGTTGTTAAATTTCCTAAGGGGATTTATGGTTTGGGGTTGCATGTCAGCAAGAGGTTTGGGCAAATTAAATTTTGTAGATGGCACTGTTAACGCCCCAAAAATATCAACATATTCTTGAGACCTCACTTTTGCCTAGTGCTCAAGAATTGTTTCCAAACGAAGACTATATTTTCCAACAAGATGGAGCATCGTGCCATTCAGCAACCAAACTAAAAATTGGTTCGGTAATAATAATATAAAAGTTCTATCCCACCCTTCAAGTAGTCCGGACCTCAATGTTATAGAAACTGTGTGGCCATAAAATGAAGCAATATTTAAGAAACCACCCTCAACGAACAATTTTGAATTTGCGGACAAAACTGCAGGAAATTTGGGATAATTTTTCTCCTCAAATGTGCCAATCTTTGGTAAATACAATGCCATTAAGAGTTCAGGCAGTTGTTCAGGCGAAAGGTGATGTAACTCCGTATTAAACAATTTTCTTGTTGTGATGTCCCAATATATAGTTGTCAGCAAATTTGGCTTGATTTTGTCAAAATAAGCTATTATCAAAAGTGATTTGTTTGCAAAGTTATAAAAATATAGTAAAATTGTCTAGATCATATTGTAATGTTTCAATTTAGAATAATAAACAAAATAAATTGAGTCGTTTTAACAAATTACTATTTTTATTGCAAAAAAGACCTTGTCCCAACATATAGTTGTTAGGGCTCGTATAGTTAGTTATGCTTTCAGAAAATAATATAAACAAGCCAACCATAATGTATAAAATGAAGGTTCTTAATATTCACTTTTTTTGCCCTGTAAGTACATTATTTATAATTTTATGATTATTGTTAGTTCCCAGTAGTTAGTACGCAGAAAAAAAAATTGTGGGTGTTTGGGAAGGCTCGAAAGGAAACTATGTTTTTGCATTTATTTTTATTACTCTGTGCTGCTAGAGATAATTCCGAAAGCTATGGAAAGATTAAAACAAGAAATTCATTTAAATATCTAAAACTATTTTTGAAATCTAATTAAGACATCTCTAAATGAAACTTTAATTACTTTGTAAAGTTATTTTCGACTGCTATTTTAATTCTGAAATCCATTCAAATAACTAATTATATTATTTGACTCAGCTATTCAACTATAAATTAGTAGTATGATCCTACGCCATTTTGAGTGCAGATTTTACGATACTTGCTGAAAATTTGCATAACTCTATTATAGTTCAAGTTCGGTGAAGTTGGGAGCTTCTTGGATTCTATCGATTGGGAATTGCGGACAAGGACCTTTGACTTATAATGCAGCACATTTTGAGAAATGGTTTCATCCGTCGGGTTTACGGAATTTATTATTGTCATTTAATATAATTTATAAATAAATAAATAAATGCCTTTATTGTCAAAAAATTTTCAATTTATAGACAAAGGTAAACTAAACAAACAAGGTACACAAACAAAAGATAATACAAAACATTATACAAATAATATTGTCAGTCTTATTGTTTAAAATACTCATTTATAAATGTTTACAATGTCAAAGAACAAAAAAATAAAAACAACATTCAAAATATTTAGCTAGTTTATAGTAAATATCAATGATCACCTCTATATTGTTTTCCTGTACCCTTTAGAGAACCGAAATTACAGAAATTTTTATAAACGTGCTTCTGTTAAATCGTGTAATTTCAGTGATAGGCGTACTCCATTTTCCACTGCTTAGACTTTGCCAACGAGGAAACTATTTGTCCCGAAGCACAATACCGTGAATTGTCAAAGGGAGGCGATTGTTTTAACGACACTAACCACTTGTTCGCTAAGTTTGCTCGAGTTTCAGCTGTTAGAAAGTTTCAAAATGGCGACCGGAAGCCCCAGATCGCCGTCACAGCGTTTAATCGTCGCCATTATATCTCTAACTTTTCTTAATCATGTTTTTGAGAAATAAAAGGCGCTTGCATAAAGGATTATTTATGATAGGAAAAACGAATAAAAGAATAGAATAAATAGTCTTGGTTGGAAGTTTTAAGTTTTTTTTTTGTAATATACACTCAACGCCACGAAAAACGGGCACCTTGACAGAGGGCAGATGGCTAATCTGCTCAACTGAACCTCGCCCTTTTGTACAATACTTTTTTTTTCTCTTTCTTCTATTATTGTATTTGTCACAGTTGTACAAATAAAGTCCTTTATTATTTATTATTATTATGTAATAACATTGTTTCATTTTTTTTCAGGCTTAGAAGACGCAATGTCAAAAAACATCCTCGTCTCCGACCCTACAGTGTTGTCGGCTCGTGTGCTCGCGATGAACGCCTCCACCGGTCTCTTGGTGTACTGCACCTGGTGGCAGAAACAAGGGCTGGAGATGGGCGGACCCAAGAAAATTAAAGAAAATATCATGGAGTTGGGGCAGAAACCCAGCACCGATTTTCCTTGGTAAGTAGGAAAAATTGAACCGTTTGGTAACACTGTAAACATAAATGAATTTATTGATATCTATTTTTATACTGTTTTTAATTAGAACTATCATTAAATATTCTTGATGTTTTATTATTAATTTCTTAATCAGCAAATGGACGAAAGCACACTTCAATAGAGTAATAGAATTTTTAATGATATTTATTTATTCAATTACTAGTTCGTTACCATTGATCATTATTTATACAGTTCATACCCTTTGAATAAGAAGACTAAGGAAGGAGCATATCAAAAATCTTAGGTACACCGCGATGGGCCTCAAATATGGCCGACTTAAATTCCGGTTTATCAGTGTCGTTCTAATTTTATTTAAAAAATGTAAAACTATGATGTAGGGTAGACGTGGGGTAGACTCAATAATTTGTTGTTTTATTTTACGTTGTGAATAAATGTTGGTAGTTATTAAAATTAACACAAACATCCGATACGCAGTAGATCTGTAGCAGGTAAGTCAAATTGACGTAACTAAATTCTTTGACATCTAATCTTTGACAAGTAATAAATAAAAGCTAAAATGCAAGAAAAATATATAATTTAGTTAATTTAAGTGAATTTCATAAATGATCGGTTTACTACACGTATGTATATTATATAGTTACTTACTAGCGAAAAGTTGTTTCATTATTTCACTCAATTTTTGCCGAGATCTACCGCACGCTACACAACCAACTATTTTAGAGTCTTTTTCGATAAATCGCGATAGTGTCACTGTTAATTTAAGTTCTGCCTCAATTTCCATCTAGATTTACTACCTTTATACAACTGTCAGTAGTAGAACATTGCCTGGAAACTTATATGGTGAAATTTTGATAAAATAATTCAGTACTCACTAAAAACACGGTATGTCGCTAATGGTAGGAAAAATAATTTTTAGAGGTTACTAGTTTATTTGGTTGCCTGTGATATGCATATACAGGGTGTTTCCTAATTAATCTAAAAAATAAAAAATCGTTAGAAAACGGCTTAAGGCGGGCTCTTAATAAGTATATTTATTTTTTTCTCGGCAACCGTTTGATGAACAAGAAAAACTCAAAAGATCAATTTTGTTGAAAAAGGAGGGCCAGTCAAGAAAAAAATATATTTTCTTTAAAAAAGCAGAAGTGTACCATTTATGTTAAGCAAAATATCGATTTTTTTTTTAAATTTTAACACCCTGTAGATCAGAAAGGGGAAGTACTTTAGACCCAATGGTTATATAAAAATTGTTTTAGGAACACATGAGAAATCACACCACAATTTTTTAGACTAATTAGAAAACACCCTGTATATTGTCAACTTGACAATGATTGTTGATAAATCAAAAAATACCTTTTCTGTGAAAAAAGCCCGATTTTCGCAGGAAAAATTTTGGTTTTTATTGAATTTGGGCCTGCGTCTGCAAATACCGGTATGTTTTTTTTTAGTATTCTATCTATCTAAATTTTAAATATCATAGTCAGAAATAGTTTTATTATTTATTAACTGTAAAAATGGTATACTTAGTATAAGTTTTATCAAATATTGTGATTTATTTTCTACCTTGTAGTCAAAATGTATATTTAATAAACTGTAAAATATATATATATTCTTATATTTTATTAAAGTTACTCTGATATATATCAGTGTAACTTTAAAACTAAATCCTTTGAAATCAAATGTAAACATAAAACATATTTACAGCAGAAAAGGCGAAGGTTAAACGTAGTCTCTACTAAGAACACGGAGGGGCGCTTTGACCCAAAATTTTAGTATTAAGTTTCATATCTATCTTAATAGAAGATTATTTTTTTTATCTATGGTAGTAGAATAAATAATAAATAACATAAAATAAGCTCCGTAAAGACTGACAAATCCACAAAATTTCAAATCAAATTCAAATGCGTCAAATGAATCGTCAAACAGAACTGTCAAGGATCCCCACCCTAGAGTGCTTTTATGGTGCTTTTTCCGCCCACCATGCATGAATACATGAATAGCATTATGCTCCTTCCTTAGTCTTCTTATTAAAAGTCCATACCAAATAAAATTTTACGTGATTAAGCTTGACCGGCACAGCGTTGCCCACTTTTATATATTTTCTTTTAATCAAAATATTTTACGAAACAAAAATAAATTAATTATAAATATATAAACAGTTATTATTTACCTCAACAAAAATTACCTTCTTAACTGCACTTAAGGGACATAAAGGGCCATTACTACCGCTTTCCAGTTCAAAATATTCTAATAAAGTTGCGATGGTTTTTTTACGGATATTAATCTTGTACACTACGCACTAAAAGAGGTTTTAAAACGAACAGTGTTCGACTGCAAGGTCTGCTAGTAATAATTTTCAAAAAAATCTTAAAGTATCACAGCAGTATTTATTTAAACCAAAAACTCGTAATACAAAACTAAAGTGTCAAAACGAATGACAATGTCAGGAAATAAATAAATAAATGCGGCAACTTGGCATTTTTTACAGCAGAGCTACCGCCTGAATCCCCAGCGCGAAATTTAAATTCCAGTTAGTCAGCACGGTGCCGAATATGTCCATGGTTGGCAACAATGAATTTAAAAATCGCGCCCTCGATTACGTAACTAAAAGTTTAATTGATATGAAATATAGATTGACTAAAGGTACCCACACACATTCCGGAAATCCTCAAAGGAAAAACTGCACAGGCCTGGCCTTAAGGAATACCGGAGCGTGTGTGTAGAACGTCGCATTCTTTCTTGGACTGTACAGGCCGCCGTAATAAAAATTGAAAAACAGATAGGAAATCTCGTGCAGGCCGGAACTGCACAGGTCGACCGGAGCGTGTGTGACGATCTGACCGTTGAAAAGCTTTTTAGATATCAATATTTGACACTAGTAGCATTGTGCCAGCCATTAATCCAATATGTCTCGCAAATTTCTAGAAGAGTTCATAGCTATTTATGATGAATGAGGGGTGCTACCATAGCTAAAAGATCCAAATATCATCTTCATCCATCCTCAGATAGTTGTGCCAATCTTTTGGGCTAATTTTCAATTCTGAAAGAAGATTTATATGGGAAAAATACCCCCTTTTTAGCCATTCTTTGCGCCATAATTTTCTATTAATACGCTTTTTTGTACTATTTTCCCGGCGTTTTAGCATCGTCTGATGTCGCCATATTGATACTATACGAACTGAACTGAATTGAAGGATTTCCTCCGCGTGTATGGAGGCGGGTGTATTCAGGCGAATTATTACAATCCTTGAGGCCAGGCCTGTGCAGTTTTTCCTTTGACGATTTCCGGAATGTGTGTGGGTACCTTAACGTACCATTGCGATAAAAAAAAGTAGTACAACAAAATATGACTTAATCTGCTGGTCTATAATAAAATATTTTTAAAACTTGAAAAATTGCCCATTTTTAAAAGGTAGGTAAAATTTTTCTACTTTTATTTCGCCACGTATACCTACCAATTGTTACCAAATTCATGGTAACGCCTAAAAAGTTAGGTGGCATAATTGTATTGTTTCCATAGTGACGACGATATCCACTTCTCGATATCCTTATAGACCAGGAGTTCTATCTGGGACTACTAATTCTTATACTACTTTTTTTGATCGCAATGGTACTTATGTACATCTTTATTTAGTATTAAGTAAAAAGAAATCGTATAGGGTTGTCCGATTGTATTCGGGAAACTTTGGCAGCATTTCTGCAGATAAAAGTAAATAAAAAAGTTCGTATCAATTTATGTCAGAAAATGTTTTGTTTCGGAGATACAGGGTGTAGAAGTTTCATTGTTATTTCGAATTATTCCAAATAATTTCTGAACTAGAATGTAGAATGTTTAGGAGGGGAGTTAATCACCGCGACCTTATAGATCTATTGTGTGTTCCCCTTTCTTGAGTTATAACGAGTTATAACTCATCATACAGTGTCAGGGCTTTAACAAAAGCCAGTATCTGAGACGGCTCTACAGAGGCCAGCTCTCCATCCTCTACATCAGACGTACCAACGTTCATGACACGAATGGTCGTCGTCTCGGCGCACTCAGTGATAAGGTGTTCTGGTGTTTCCCCATTTTCCCCACAAAATCTGCATTCGCCGTTGTTTCTCAGTTTCAGCCTACTGAGGTGTTCGTTGAGGAGACAGTGTCCTGTTAGAAACCCCGTGACAATCTGAAGTTTGTTTTTACTTAAATCAAGGAAAACCTTTGATTTTTCTCGGTCATAAGTTCTGAGGAACTTTTTCGAGTGTGTTAGACCGTTGGAGGACACCCATTCCAAGTTACGGATGGAGTCTTCCAGATTCTTCAGTTCCGCTTTCAGTTGATTCCCGTTTGTAAAACAGAACGGTTCTGGTCCAGTTGGTGGAGTGTTCGCTCCTTTTCTAGCTAGATCATTTGCTTTTTCATTGCCTTCTATCCCTTGGTGAGCAGGCACCCAGAGTAGGAGGACTTTATTTTCTTTGCCTAATTTGTTAAGCTTCTCTAGGCATTCTTTGACCAACTTCGAATTGATGGTTACTGAGTTGATCGCGTTAAGTGCTGCTTGACTATCGGATAGGATGGCAATTTCCTGTTTTCGATAGTTCCTATCTAAGATAAATTGTACGCATCTTTCGATGGCGCAAATTTCTGCCTGAAGGATACTGGGGTAGGTGCCCATTGGTTCGGAGTATTTAGTTTTCGGCCCAAATACTCCTATCCCTGTCCCTGCTTTGGTTTTGGAAGCATCAGTATATCACGTGATGGTATAGTCTTTTATATGCTGAGTAAGCGTTTCTTTCTTCCCAATCCTTTTTATTACTCAATACGACAGTGAGGTGTTTCTCAAAGTTGTAAATTCTTGGTATGTCATCCACTGGGAGTTGGAGAAGTGGAAGTGGTTTGGTTTGGTTTGATTGGATTTCTGAACTAATGTCGATAATAATTGGTGTCTGCATGTGTTTTTTGAAAATTACTATTAATAAATTTATTAAAACTTGTATAATAAGTATAAAATACAAACTTTATTATTACTAATAAATAAACTTTTTTTTATTTTATCATAAATTTTTCTAGAAAAAAATTACTTATTTTTATCTGTTTCCCTAATACAATTCGGAGCACCCTGTATACATATAGGTAGAAATAAATAATGAAGTTCATTTTTAGGGTTCTTTTAATGGATTTTTATATACATTTTTTCTTGAATCATCCATCAAACTGATTGATGAATCTCCGTGAATGAAAGAATATTTTTTAATATTTCATAATACATGATTTTTTTTTTATTTAAAGGTACGAAGATGCTGATTCGAGCCCAACTTTGCGGTCGCCAAAATTCATTGAAAGTCCACCCAACGTCTCTTACAGAGGTTGGTGGACATACCCGTACTACTCTTGCTCAGCTCGTAGATGGTTGATCTCATACAGTGTTCCTATTCCACCACCAGGCAGAATGGGGTAAGCTTTATTATCATAATATACCCATTTTAGGGTGCCGTAGTTATTTTACTTTGAAAAATTTTTTGCTTACATTTTGAGAACGACTTAATTTTTTCTGTTTTTCTTCCTCTAAATTTAATCTACCAAGTACCTTTGGTATTACATTATCAAGATATGTTTTTTTGTGTTCTTTATGTTTATGTTTTTAGGTGCCCGGTGGCGTAGAGATACAGGCTCTCGTCTACCAATCTCAAGGTTGTTGTCAATCCTACACCCGGCATTTCATCAGCCGACTATTTTTATTAAAATAAAAATAGTTTGGGTACCTAGGTCGACTCAGTCTTAAATGAGTACTTGGGATTCACAATCCTGAGGTAATACGAGCCCTAACAACTATATGTTGGGACAAGATCTTTTTTTGCAATAAAAATAGTAATTTGTTAAAACGACTCAATTTATTTTGTTTATTATTCTAAATTCAGACACTACAATATTATCTAGACAATTTTACTATATTTTTATAACTTTGCAAACAAATCACTTTTGATAATAGCTTATTTTGCCAAAATCAAGCCAAATTTGCTGACAACTATATATATATTGGGACAGCACAACAAGAAATTTGTTTAATACGGAGTTACATCACCTTTCGCCTTAAAAACTGCCTGAATTCTTAATGGCATTGTATTTACCAAAGATTGGCACATTTGAGGAGAAAAATTATCCCAAATTTCCTGCAGTTTTGTCCGCAAATCAAAAATTGTTCGTTGAGTGTGGTTTCTTAAATATTGATCATTTTATGCCACACAGTTTCTATAACATTGAGGTCCGGACTACTTGCAGGATGGGATAGAACTTTTATATTATTATTACCGAACCAATTTTTAGTTGATTTTGCTGAATGGCACGATGCTCCATCTTGTTGGAAAATATAGTCTTCGTTTGGAAACAATTCTTGAACACTAGGCAAAAGTGAGGTCTCAAGTATATGTTGATATTTTTGGGCGTTAACAGTGCCATCTATAAAATTTAATTTGCCCAAACCTCTTGCTGACATGCAATCCCAAACCATAATCCCCTTAGGAAATTTAACAACCCTCTTTAAGCAATCTTTATGAAAGGCTGCTGCTTTATTTCGTATTATTCGTTTTCGATGATCTCCAACGCAAACATCAAATTTAGACTCATCGCTAAATATGACCTTATTCCAATCATTTTGTGTCCACGATAATTTAGATTTTGCCCAATTGTACCGATTTTTCTTTTGAATTTCTGTTTTTTTTTCGGTTTGTTGTTTTCTGTCGGTTTTTCTTTGGCCTAAATAAGAATTTGTATCAATAATCTTCAGATAATTGATTATCCACACAAAATAAACTCTACCTTGTAAAACCCCAGACCGCATTTACGGATATATTTTCGGCAACATTCTCTTGATATATTTAAACCAGTTACAGTATTCCATTTAACTGTTACTTCGCGAAGAGTACTTCTTCTCACAGACTTGCAAATTTTAACTAAATTTCGTAAATCTCTCTGAGATACAACTTTTGGCCTTCCCGAACTTTTACCTCTAACGTCTACATTGGCAGATTCGCCATATTTTTTTATTATATTAAAAACCGTGGTTTTTGGAATACTTAAATCATCAGAAATTTTTCGAATTGTTTTTCCCGTACTGTATTGACGAATGATAATTTCGCGTAGTTTTTGATTTGTAGCTTTTCCACGGACCATTGCTTTGAATTAAATTAACAAAACTGAAAATTAAACAAATTAAAATTACTTACAGTAGATCTCACTACTCAAAGTATCGAGTCACTTACAAGCTGTCAATGCTGAAGTAAACAGTTTGCGACATTTGTGACGTTTATAGCAAAGCCGCCTATGATGATATTAATTATTTAAAAATACTTGTCCCAACATTTAGTTGTCAGCAAATTTGTCCCTTTTATGAACAAAATCCGCTACTGTAAATATGGATTGATTTACAAATTCATAAAAATATTGTCAAGTTGTTTAGGATATATGGCTATGTTCATATTTAAAAAATTAAACATATATTTTTCAGTCATTTTGAAAAACCAGGGCAATAATTCCGAAATATGACCTTGTCCCAACATATAGTTGTTAGGGCTCGTAATAGGCGATTGAAGCGTAGTGCTAGTACCTTACCTTCCTTGTATACCGAACGGCTCTAGCATGGCAAGCTGTACCTTGCTACTCCCAAGGCGTTAAACGCTATATATACGAGAGCTATTATTATTATTTATGTTTATGTTTTTAACTGAAAATTAATTCCAATTTTTTCTTCGCTAATATGCCTGATTAAGACACTCTGTATAGAATAATATTTTCTATGAACATGAAGTTTTAGCCTTTTTTTTTTCGTCTTAAAAAAGACGATTTTCGAAATCCTATATACCATATATAGCGAATAAACTAATAAACGGCAACGCTGGCGCGCAGTGAATAAGTATTAATGTTGTAATCGCGGAGAAATTTTTTGAGTTTTTTGTGGTTCCTAGCTAGAATAAATTAAATACAGTGTTACAAGTAGTTGACAAAGTAAGTCTTTAGTCTTTAAATAAAGAAGTGCCATAATTAGAACGGCTAATCATCTTTAAAAAGGCAAATTTGTTAGAAAACGCCCCGCCGTGGTCAATAACTTTGGACTTTGAACCATCACATAAATCGATTAACAATAATTATTTGACCTAGTTTTGGACAAGTACAGCGGACGTCATTGCCAATTGCAATATTTTTTATTTGAGTAACAGATATTATAATATATAATATACACCGTAAGAATGGTAGATACGCTCATATTCAAACAATTTCAAGAAATCAAATCTTTAATACAGAACAGCAAAAAAGAATTAAAAGAAGACATTAAAACGGTGAGAGAGGATTTGTCAATTCAAACGGAAGTTCTAAAGGAGAGTATTACTGTAATACAAAGTAAATTAAACGATATAGAATACAGGGTACAAGCACTAGAAAAATTAGCTAGGAAGAACAATTTGATAATATTTGGGCTACGGGACCACAGAAACCTAAAAGGACTTTGAATTAGCTACTTGGGTAACCGAGCAACTAAGAAATCTGTTAGAAGTAGATATAAATATAAGCGATATAAACAATTTATACTACTTAGGAAACGACTCAACGAAACCGCTACGTATAGAACTCAATTCATATTTAAAAAAGGCATTGATTCTTCGAAGCGCCTATAAGCTGAAGGGAAAGAACATTTTTATTAACCACGATCTTTCCAAGAAAGAGAGAGTGGTGAACAAGGTACTCAAACAAAATTTAAAAGAGGCAAAGGAAAAGGGTTTAGGGGGGAAATTAAAAGGGATACTCTTGTAATTGGCAGCGAAACTTATAATTACGAACAATTGGTGGAGAGAGGAAATAAAGGTAACGAATCTGATTGCGAAGTCTTTACCGATATTCCATCTAGACCATCCCTAAGTGCTCCGGGGACACCCGTCAACGAACAACCTGTACAACCTATAGAGCGTCACAAGCAAGAAACTCACTATCCGGATCCAAAAGCTAAGCCGACCAGTACTATTGAATTTACCATTAATCCGGGAGCATCGACTACGCAAACTCGCAGGGGTTCGGCTGGCCTTATAACCGCATCCCTACCTTCAACTAATAAGGGAAGACCAGCAACAAGAAGTTACTCGAAGCCGGTATAGAAATGAAGATGTCGTCAAGTGTAAAGAGACATTTTTTTAAACAAAACGTGAGTGAATTATTTATATACATTGATGGCGCTCGTTTGTGCGCGGCTACAATTTCCTTGTAATTTTAGTCTAATTGGAGATATAAGCATATATCGCGACTTGCTTACTCTGCACTTTTGGGACTTTTAAATAATTAAAATATAGTATATGTTTAAATTTAATTTGGTGTTGGGCTAAAAATAAATAGACTATTAATATTTAAATATATAGTAAATACATGGACGTTTATAAACCAATATAGATTATTTGTTTCTTTATTAAAGGTATTTGGAGTATATTTATTGTAAAACAATAAAATATATATTTTATCTTTTATTCTCTTTTGAAAAATTAGGTGTTTCCGATATGGGTCAGATTGCAAGTTAAATATTTAAAAGCTTAACATATAAGATAACAATGAATTCATATATTAGGGATTTTGAAACAAGGTTGATTGAGGTAGATGTGGTGGATGACATTAATATATGTAAATTTGACATTGAATTATCATAATTTAAACTTTTTCATAATAATATTCGTAGCATAGATCACAATTTTGATGAGCTTCTTGTTCTTTTACGTGGAATAGATTTTGAATTTGATTGTATAGTACTTACTGAAAGTTTTAAAATTTGGAATATTGATTTATATAGGATACTGGGATACAACATTATATATAAATGAAGGAAGTCTAAATAAAAATGATGGAGTAGTAGTACTTATAAAATGTTCGTTAAATTATTCCTATAAAATACTAGATATAGGAGATAAGACCGCTGTGTAATAACTTGTTTTTTAGCGTGCTTAAGTGTTGGACAATGAAATATATTAATTTGATACATTTAGATATAGTTAAGAATTTAGTATAAAATATTGTAGTTATTGTTGTAGAAATAAAACTCCTCAGACAAGGTTCTACCTTAAGAGGATATTATGTTTATTCACTATTTTGTATTCGTAAGTTATGTATAAGTCTTGTATATACTTTGTAATTGGATCAGTTTGAATAAACATTATTTATTTATTATTTATTTATTTATATACAGTAGGGCGAGCCAAAAAAAATAACCTATCGAATTTATGGGTTAAAATGAACCTAATAACCGAGGAAAAAATATCCCCGGAAGGTATCGGTGAACATTCAGTTTTTCATTTAAATAACACGTAAAAAATCTTTTTCCATTAAAAGTACCATAATTTTGAAACGGTTTACTATAAAAAAAATGACATCGCGGATTCTTGTAGAGCATAAAATTTCCCAAAAAATCTATCTGAGAGTAATTT